AAATCAGACGTCGATCGGACATCGGGGAGGGTAGTTATTAACGTTTATGTGACTTAGTGTCGTTATTTAAAATAAATCAACTTCAGGGCCGTTGCGGCAGCACTAAAACGTGTCCGATCGGTCTCCGAAAAAAATAGATTTTTTTTTTCATCGAAAGAAACAAAGTCTGACCCTAAGACCTTTAAATATGTAAAAAGTGATTTTTAAGTGCCAGTCTAGCGGTGGTGGTAGCGGGCGAGCGGATGTCCAGTGGCCTCCTCCGCTCTCCCGCCCCACCACTGCTCTCTGTATTCGGTTTTGTTCCTCTTAGTTCTGGCATGCAGTACAACCGCACAAGTGGACGGGGTTAAATAATTATCCACGTGATTATCCATCTGGTATGTTTTAGATTCTTAAAACGGTTTGGCAATCTCTCTTGCAGGCAGCATTCGAAGCTCGGGACAACCTTTCAGCTTCATTTTCGCAGGAGTGCGGATCTGTAATTGTTGACAGCCTCCACTTAATCACAGCTGCACACTGCCTGGTGGAGTAAGTAGAAGGCGGCGTGTGGCTCCGCGCTACGAAGCTTTCCCCACGTTTTCCTTTTCGGACGTGGATGTAGACTCAAGACGTATTTGTGAAACGCCACGGTGTCTTCTTTATTCCCTCTGCAGCTACAAGACCCCAAACCTAATGCGGATTCGTGTCGGCACGTCACTCCTTGAAGAGGGCGGCTCTTTGTACAACGTGGCGCAGTTTTGGACGCACCCCAAGTATAAGGTTTACGCGGCGAGCCGCGGTGGTACGTACCTGGACTACGATATTGGGGTGATCAGACTGGCGACGCCCCTCAAATTTGGGGGTAATGTCCAGGCTGCCAAGCTCATACCGTTGAATCAGCAACTCGCCCAGGGAGTGAAGGTCATTGCTGTTGGATGGGGCGTACTCAAGGTAAAGTGGTGCCGATGAAGGCAGAATTTTGCTTCGACTACTTCCTTTTCCATTTACATCGTATACTGTTTGCTGATTTCCCATTTACTATTCTCTTTCCTCTGTAAATAGTACGATGGCCCCGAACCCAAGCAGCTTCGTCGTGGTTTGTTCAGTGTCGTGCCGCAGCCTCTATGCAACCAGCGGATTCAAAAATTACTTAACGAGACTGTGTTTCCACGGTTTACATGCACCGAAGTCCGCTCGAATGCAGACTGTTTCGTGAGTAGTTGTTTCCCAGCTTCAAATGGCAGTGAAAAATTTTGTCGTTCGATAGCAACAGCCGTCGTTACTTGCACTTCCTCGGTATGTCTGAACATTTTTTTTCCAGGGAGATTCTGGTGGCCCTGTTTACAAAAGAGATAAGAACGACAACGCCGTGGCTGGAATCATTTCCTGGGGAACCTGTGTTGGATTTGTACCTAACGTCGTCACGGACGTGGCTAACTCTGAAATTCGTAGCTTTATCCGTGAGAAAACCAACTCGAATATTTAAACAACGCATTTTTTTACTAATGGGCCATAAATAAAAGACTTAAATGTGTTGATCAATCACTGTTAGTTCTTTTTTATCCGTATGATATCCACGGTGACCTGCAAACAGGCGAAGGGGCGATTTTCTTGGTCGAAAATTGTGCCTTTCACAACATGAACAACTCCTTCTCGTATGCTCTGACCTCCAAATGCTTTCACAACACCTGTATCAAATTTAATATTGTGACCGGAATAGTTGCCCTGGAATTTCAAAAAGAAATTTAAGTTAAAAACTTGCAGAAAATAAAGCCCAACGAACACAATTTGTTCTAACCGACAACAATAACTGGCAACTAGAGGTCACTATGCATTTCTGCACCAACTTCGTTACATTGGTGGGCCTCCGAACCGCTAAGCTTCACAGATAAACCAAGTGTGCAACTCATTTGCAGTTGTAAGTGCGCAACTGCAAGTTGGTTACTTCCAATTATTAAACTCCATCGTTTTACACGAGCAAGTGTTTAACTCCATAGTTGTACACTTGCAAGTGTGCAACTGCTTAGTTGGAACAATTACTTAGATTGTACCCCTTCTGTGTGGGAAGTTGCACACTTAGTTCATCAGTGTATTCATCTTGAACACCAAGACACACTTCGGGATGGGACACTGTCAGGTCAGGGTGTATACCTGTAATCCTAGTTCTCCGAATGAAACCCAGAGTATCTTCAGGGTGTACTTAGCTTAGCACTCTTCCAGTGTCCCTCCAATTTCAAGTACACTGGTAAAACAAGTGTGCACAATTTGCACACCAACGTGTGCAAGTTATGATTTTGCACATTACATGGTGTGCAAATTTTAGACGTTTTGTAAACGTTTAAATTTTGCACACTTTGGCACATACAGTTCTATGCCTTCAATAGGAAGCATGTGATGTGCAGCTGCGAGACTTTTCGGAAGTGTCGAAAGTTTAAACACCAATTGACGTATAACCTAGTTAGACAGCACAAACTGTCTAGAAAATGCACACTTAAACTTAAACACTATTTGACGTGCAAAGTTAAACACTTGTTGTACCAATGTAATCGACACTTCACTCCCTTAAAGACTATTGCAGCTTAAAACAATATAAATGTCACGCAGACAAAGTTCACTGGGAAATCCCAAACGTGTCTAAGTTTAAATTTCCATAGAATTCCAACAAAGTCTTTATTGTGTGCGCCATTCGTAGCTCACGTTCTTTGTTGCTTTTAGTTAATGAGATTTAGTTACTACTCACGGCCTGTAGGGGGCAATTGAATGGCGGCACCAGCGACTTTAAAATGGGCGTCCAGGGCATAACCGGTAATGTCAACATCCCGCATACGTTAGTAGAAAAGTTCCACTCCATGGGGTGACTGCAAGTGTTGCTCGAGACAGCCTCTGCGCACTCTACTTTCCACACTGAAAGCTGAAAAAATGAATAGCATCAGCAACTATTTCAATCTAGCGTATAGTAGCAAAACACGAAAAAAAAATTCGCATTATATGCGTAGCAAAATTTAACAAAATACGTTCGGACAGTTCTTTGTCGCAAGAAAATTATACGAACGCAAACTTTCTTGGTACAGAATTCAGTTCCTGAGTAAAACTATGCAAATAAATGACCGTACCGGGTGTTGCACACTCGCTCAGGCCACAAGAACCATAGTCATGTGCGTTCAAAGAAGCCTACAAAACACTCTAAATGTAAAGGGGAAAGTCTGTCAAAAAAATGGTGTTTATGTGCACACCCAGAAAGGATGCAATGAGTTCGGAAATTGCATCTTTTCCGAATTTGCACGAAAACGTTGCCTTTTTAGAAACAAAACTACTGCCCTTTTATATTTACAGTGCACATAATTATTTTATCAGAATTTAAACATACCGATATCGTCGTGTATATCAGCCATACCATACAGCGTGGCGTAGGAGGGGGAAGGAGGTGCGTAACGGGTGGCTTCCCCTTGTTTCACAGCACACTACTGCCAACAATCGGTACTCTACTGGTGGCTCAACCACTTTGCTGGGCGAATTCAAGAAGAGAACTACAACTACAGGAGTAAATTTTAAGAATATTGGCTCAGCCACCAAGCTTTGTGGTCAACCAGGTGTACACAAAAAAATGCAACAACACCAACAAAAAAATAGTTTGTGGTACTGCTGATTAGGCAGTATGGCCCCTACGGTGCAGGAATTGTGTGCAAACCCGCAAAACTACAGTGTCCATATGATACGCCGGGTACCGGGTATCTTAACTATTTGTCTATATTACACGCGGTACAACTTCAACTAACGATCAAGCTTTGATACAACCCTCACGGCCACGCATCAATCCCTCGTTTACGACATTTCGTGACACACGTGCATCGTGCACTGTCTGTTCGAGTATCGTCCTATATAAGACAGAGGTGGACGGGCAGAAGGTACCAATCCATCGCCATGGCCCGCCTTAGCATCGCAGTCCTCGCCCTCTTCGCCGTCGCCGCGGTAAGTTTAACCCGCATGTTCTCCCAGCTCGGCTATACATTATTCCCACAAGCTAATGTGCTAATGAAACACACATTCCAGGTTGTTTCCGCTGGCGCTCCCCCAGCACCCCCCAAGGGTCCCGCCGGACCCCCCGCAGGAGGTCATCTAAAGGCTTGGCTGCACCAGAAGGAGGCCCAGCTCAAGCAGTGGGCTGGTCAGGAGAAGGACAAGCTCCAGGTTCGAACAAAACCAGTGTCCTATTATTTTGGCGACGGTTTAGCAAGCCACCTCTTTCGGTGTTACTTTCAAGGTTTCTTTACGTTTGCTTTCGCTTTTTTCAGGGTCAATGGAAGGAGAAGGTCGTTCCCCAGATCCATGAGCTGACCCAGAAGTTCGGCCAGAAGTGGCAGGAGAAGGCTCCCAAGATCGCCGCCCTCCTCAAGCAGAAGGCCGGAGCATGAGAGAAGGGCGCCCTGGAGAAGAAGCAAACCCGGGGTAAAAGGGTACACCGATCACTTTCTCAGCACCTCACGGCCGCAAATGGAAGCGCACGTAGCTGCGAGTGATACCGCCGTGATCGCGAAGTTGCGCTGCGTTGCTACATACCAATCTCGTTGGGGTCGGTTCAATTTTAACGGAGCGCCAAGCGCCTCAAGCCGCCAGAGAGCCGCGGCGGGACCGGCGGCCCGCCTGCCTGCCAGCGGCGGCCCGGGCGGGCGGCGCGCTGGCTGCCAGCTCGGCGCGCGGCGGCCGCTCGCGGCCCACAGAGCATGCGCATTTGCCTGCTTCCCCCACTCTCGCCCCACCGCGCCGCGCCGCGCCGCGCCGCGCCGCGCCCATCCCGTCCCTCATGCTCGGACCACAACAATCTTCAATGTCGGTTGTGTTTTCTGTAAATGTACGTATGAAATAACTGGTTTAGATCGACATTCCAAGGTGCATCATTGAGAGACACAATTGAATAACGATTTTCTGTTCTCTGTCATTCAGTAGCTCGTATTTTAATCCTTCTGCGAATGGTCCTGCTTCAAAAATGGGGAGAGTTGCGTCTAGGAAAAAGCTTTCGAGAAGGAAAGGTGATACGTATAGGACGCCTAAAACGTCCAAAATAAATTCTGAGGTTAGTTTCTTTTCGAATGAGATGGAATGGCCATGCAGGTCAATATCGCTATGAAATTTAGCTCTTAAAATATGTATATTTTTCAGGAATCTCAACATGTTGTACCAGACTCGTCACCATCAGCAGACCTGCTACATGATTCTGAGCCAGTATTTGAGTCAATTGAAGATGAACAGGCCAGTGAGAACAAACCTCCCAATATCTCCATTGACAATTCAAAAAAGGAGGTAATAAAACTGAAACAACATCGTACGTCCATTGATTATATGCCATATCTTTGGAGCATAACTAACCTATTTTTTAATGTATTATTTGCTACAGGTGTGCTTTGAGTCAGTAAAAATAGATCATGTTTATGCTTCTCCAATTGGATCCAAGCCCAAATTTGAAGGCAGAGCATCTGTTCCTGAACCTGCTGTCCTAAATGAAGAGCTTTTGTTAGAGATCAAGCACAAAATTGAATTGTTTTTGCCACACCGATGGCTGTGTCTTCAAGCAGATAATGACAATGTAATTAGAGTAGTATTGATTTCTGCTCAGAATAATGTGTCCATTCAGCGTAGTTTAGAATTTACTCATAATGGTGACGTGAATTTCTTTGTTCATTGTAACCCCTTGAGCATTGATCCGTACTTAACTGGCACCTTACCACCTTTACCGTTGGATGGCAGTACTGTGGATTACTTTGTAGATCGAGTTATAACCATTGTGAATAATGTTCGTAAAATGGAAATTTGTCCTGGATATGATGATGAGAAATACCAGGTGGCTTGGCCTACTTGCCCCTATGGTGAGAAAGATAGTAACCCTTATAGAGAGTGTAGATACTCAGAAACTTTTAGGTCTCATGCCTGTCTTAGACTAGTTAGTAACAAAAAGTGGCGTTGCTCAGAGTGTTCTAAGCTAGGTAAACCGCTGAAGAGGAGGACTGCAGCAGCTGCTATGGAAACCCGTAAGGCCAACACTGCCAACAAATTTCTGACTGAAAGTCAAATGTTAAACAAGTTACAAGAACAGCGACAAGAGCTTGAAAAGGCAAGGAAAAGGATTGGTCGTCTTCACTCTAAAATGGAAGTTTTGATCAAGAAAGAAGGCGTTAAAGTGGAACAATCAATGTCAGATGCACTTAGTGAAATATTGAATGATAGTAAAATGACTCCAGCTCAGTCTATATTCATGCAGCAGCAAATTAAAGCTTCTCAAGTAGAAAAGTCTTCCAGCATGAGATGGCATCCAACTATGTTGAGATTAGCACTGGCTATCCATTTAACATCACCTTCAGCCTATGAACTACTTCGTGACACGGGAATGGTGAAACTTCCCTCATCCCGTACATTATTTGAATATTCTCATGCCAACCGCATCAAAGAGGGCATTGATGCTGTAGTTATTGAGAAATTATCTGCTAGAGTGACAAAGTTATGTGAAGAAATTAATCCTACCACAAAATTACCAGAGAAGCACAAAAAATATCACATTTTGATGGCTGATGAAATGTATATTTCACAAAATCTGGTCTTCCAAAAATTTTCTGGTAAATTATTGGGCTTTACCTCCTTGGATGACATTGATTCTGAAATCAGGAACCTGGAAGGTCACCTGGACAACCCTGAAAAAGAGTTGGACCCAGTGATGGCCTCCAAAATAATGGTGTACATGGTCAAAGGTGTCAGTAATGGTCAGAAGGAAGTTGTTGCTACTTATGCCTCTGCTAACTTGTCAGCCACACAAATGTATGCATGGACATGGAAAGTAATAGGAGCGCTGGAAAGAAGTGGTATTGCTGTTGTTGCTTTTGTGTGCGATGGATCTTCTACTAACAGAGCATTTATTAAAAAACATAAGGCATGTGATACAGATCAAGATCCAAATGATATTGTTTATTGTACTTGGAACAAGTGTGCAAGAGGAAGAAAACTATTTTTCATTTCTGATGTGCCCCATTTGCTCAAGACCATCAGGAACTGTATGTTGAATTCAAGATGGGACAAGTTGAAAAGCCGGAGAAGGATGGTGAAAAATGGGAAGAGAATTAGTTGGGATTTTACTATATAACCTAAAGCAGGGCAAAACTCTAAGAAAATCATACAAGCTTAATGCTATGAATGTTTACCCTGACAGTTATGCACGTATGAAGGTCAAGTTTGCCGCAGAAGTTCTCAGTAAAACAGTGTGCAAGGATCTTCGTAGTCAAGGTTGGGCAGACGCTTCAGAAACAGCAACATTTATTGAATTAGTGAACGACTGGTTTGATTGCTTAAACGGAGCCCATTCAAGTATTGGAAAGCGAGTGAGGAATGAGAATCTTGCTCCATATACTTTAACAAATAAAGAGGAGCGCTTTCAAGTTCTGGACAATTTTTTAAAATATTTAGAGGATTGGGAAAATGATGCTGCAAATCCAATCTCCACAACAGCCACTAATATTGATTTGTCTTCAACTGCTGCACTCCAAGATGGGGATATTAGTGAAATTGAAGGTGAAACTTCCCCGGAGAATGACACACCAATTGGAAGACGTCAACTGAGTAAGCAAACTATAGATGGCATCCGAATGACTACAAAAGCATTTAAGCCGTTAGTTAATTTCTTACTTCAAGAAGGAGTGAAGTTCATAAATGCTAGAATTTTCAATCAGGATCCATTGGAACAACACTTCAGTAAAATTAGGGCTGGTCAAGGAGGGAGTAATAATCCAAACTTACTTCAAGCACTGAACAAGATCCGTGCACTCCATGTCTTTGGTCACCTTGGCATGAAAAAAAGAAAGGGAAATTCTGGGGAGGATGGCTGTGTAGTGGAAGTAACCACTGAGCCTCTTGCTAAGAGGAAATGTGTGAGAGGTACTAAATTTGTGATGAAATAATCTTATGAAATAAAGCTGCTTTGTCACTGTCATATTCTTTTACTATTTATTAATTTTTCAATGTCTTGTCAACATATGGCACATAGATAATACACTTGACACATTTACTAAATAAAATTCTCAAAGTTAAAGCTCAAAGTCACTAAATCAAAAGTATTGATACTGTAATCACACTTGTCTTTGGAAAATAAAAAATTACATATCTAGAGTTAATCGATTAACATGAACTAAATTGTCTTTGGAAGATAAAAAATTAAATATCTAGAGTTTTGTTAACCGATTAACATGAACTAAATTAACACTTGTTCAAACACACTAATGGTAGGAAAATCACATACTACAAAAGGAGTGAAACAATGAAAACACTTGGCCCTCTTATGCCTTCTTGCGACGTGCAACAGACACTCTTGTTGCCATGCTAATGACAGGTTTCTGCCGCAAGAAATTTAGACGTCTTTTGGCAACACCCCGACCACAAGTTCTACTAAAACATGTTATCACATCATTCATAAGACTAATAGAGACTTCTTCAGAAAGTGAATCTTTAATAATATTGTCCCAGTCCACACTGATATCACAGTTACTCACTTTGGCAATAACATCATCATAGTCAATACTTCCATCCCTTTTCTCACACGCAAACACAACTAAACACACTTTCTTGAAAAATTCTTGGACTGACTGCTGAATGTAGAGAAGTCCACCCCTGTCTAACTCTGCTGTCCATTCAGCATCAATTTCCCCAACAGGTTTCTCGCACAAAACTTTACACCTCAAAACACTTTCTATTTTTTGCCACTTAAGGTTTTCTTTATGCCTCCTTGCCATTTTTAGGTATCCCCTCATAATCGAACCAGCAATATAATACACAACCTGCTTGTCATCTTGGTCAAGCACAAAATTTCTCTGTCTGCTGCAAGTAAACTTGGATCTGTATGTTGATGAAATAAATTTAAATATTTCCAAAGTGAAATTTAACATGAATTCCATTAAAAACTGTGATTGAGCATCAATTTCAAAACTATCTAATCCCAACACACTTAAATATTCTTCACAAAGACTGTCATCTGATACTATTTCTTCCATCTTATCAAACAGGCTGATCATCAGTGGTGATGGCAACATGGTCTTCTGTTTACATACATCACATATTAATTCTGTACAAATTAAAGTAGAGAATTTATGCAAGTCTTCTGCAGGCAGACCAACTACATGTCCTATTAACTGCTTAAATACTGCTCCACTTGGACCAAAACTTGGACTGTTAGCAACCTCCGTTAGTGCAGCAGAACATATGTCGGAAACATTTCCTAAAATTTCCTCTCTGTCAGGAAACCGAGAAGCAGCGGCTGCAACATAAAATTATTACGTTAGTTCTAAAAAGAAGGTGGCAACAATAAAACTCAAATTAACTTAAAGCACACATTGCCAAAAAGAGTTACCTTGGACAACATGATTTCTCATGTGTGTTTTGAAAGATCTAGAACAAATATATTTCTTGAGGCAATAAGTGCATATAAGCTCTGTCTTCTTCTTACTCTCATTCTTTTTAGAAACTTTATCTTTTTTTGGGACAGCTGGCACTTTAAATGTTTGCTTCTTTTGCGGTTTATTATTAAAATTAATAATTGAGAGATCACTATCATTGAGTTGGATGAGTGAACTTTGATCAACAGCAAGAGAAACCTGAGACACATCTAAAAGAATAGAAAAGAATAGAGAAATAAGTTGCAGAATAATTTGCCTCTAAAATATTTTCAAAAAGAGAAATTAAACATACCAGACGATGAGGGCTGATGAGTTTGGAGGTGTTTCTGGTAATAGAACTGAAGGACATATGTTTTCCCACATATCTGACACACAAGGCTGGCGGTAGTATTAGTTAAAGCTGCAGGCTTTAGTCTTTTGGAAGGAGCAGAGTTGGTACTTGGCCTTTCTCTTGGTCTTTTGGGAGTAGAGGCACATCCAGCAGGCAGGTCTTTGAATGAGAATGAGACGTCGTTACCATTCTCGTCCGAGAACAGGTCCATTCTACAGAAATTATAACGGAAATATACTCATTAATAGACCCAGACAACGAAACATTCGTAATAGATAAGGAAAGGGACAGCTGTACCATTAAACAGTGACTCATATTTACCTTGTAATTCTAACCCAACGCACGAAAACGTGAAAATTTCCGGCCCTTGGGCCCTGGTCAAACGCCCTGCACGGTTTGTTGTGGTCCGAGCATGAGGGACGGGATGGGCGCGGCGCGGCGCGGCGCGGTGGGGCGAGAGTGGGGGAAGCAGGCAAATGCGCATGCTCTGTGGGCCGCGAGCGGCCGCCGCGCGCCGAGCTGGCAGCCAGCGCGCCGCCCGCCCGGGCCGCCGCTGGCAGGCAGGCGGGCCGCCGGTCCCGCCGCGGCTCTCTGGCGGCTTGAGGCGCTTGGCGCTCCGTTAAAATTGAACCGACCCCAACGAGATTGGTATGTAGCAACGCAGCGCAACTTCGCGATCACGGCGGTATCACTCGCAGCTACGTGCGCTTCCATTTGCGGCCGTGAGGTGCTGAGAAAGTGATCGGTGTACCCTTTTACCCCGGGTTTGCTTCTTCTCCAGGGCGCCCTTCTCTCATGGCCGGAGCTGCCTACGAAAAGGCTGTCAATTTCGTCAATCAGAAGCTTGCCCCCCAGGCTCAGCCCCCTAAGCCAAAGGGCGGCATTGGCAAATAAATGTCGTAACGTAATAAAGACCTGATCTGAAATCCTGCCGCTTTCATGAAATCCTTTCACCTTGCTCTGTATGCATCATGACATGACACGTAATGTTTGAGCTGTTCAGAACAGCAGACACGAAGTTGAGACCGAGGACTTGACCCAATATACACTGGTGGAACCAAAAGTTGCCTAACTTGTCTAGTCTACCTATCGCAAGTACATGCATTGTTTTGTCAAGGGAGTGAAAATTTCCCATGGCGTTAAGTAAAATTAACTAAAGCATTACCACAGAAGACTACTTTAAAATAAAAGTACAGTATTTCTTAGCAGATGATACCTTAAAAATATTTTGAAGAAACATGAAGAATATCTCTCGATTTGTACAGAGAACCAAGCGTAGACCAGAAAACAATTTCCTTGGCGCTGGGGGACCGAGTCTGTTTGGCTAAGTGTCGCGTTGGGCGCTACCCCTACCTAACAATACGAGCAGGCCCTACCCTTGCCCAACAATTGGGCAACCGGCCCGGCCACTGTGCCTGTGCTCGCCCCTTGTCTCCTCCTCTACGCCGCTAGTACACCGAATAACAAGATTGCAAGTAACAAGCAGCCATAAACAAATCACACCTTAATAGGGAGAAAATTAGAAAACATACCTATTCTTACATTTGTATCATCTGCTTTCAAGATCGATTCTTGATTGACATTTCCTTCCTTACCCCTATATTAGTGATTTTAGCGTTCATTTTGTGATGCGTACCCTCTTTAGAGAGTTGGCCGGTCGGCTGAAAACAGTGTCAATGTCCATGACAACACTGGTCCTTCCGTCCATACGAAGCGACGCATTGGCCAACGTTAAGGCTAAGCCTTTCAGCCCAGAGCACCGCTCCGCAGACAATGGTCTGATGACTAGCTCCGTTGAATGGCTCTGGATGTTGAGTTAAACAACACTGATATATAAAGTGTGCAACTGACACACACTTTAAGGTGTTTAACACCGTGTAGCACACTTCTATGTGTGCAACATAAGTTTTGAATAGTTGGAAGTGTTCAACAGGTGTGTTGCACACTTTTTAGTGTTTAACTTGAGCGTTGAGCTTTAGTGCTCGTCGGTCAGGTTAAACATTTAAAAGTGTGCAACACACCTGTTGAACACTTCCAACTATTCAAACTCGTGTTGCACACATAGAAGTGTGCTACACGGTGTTAAACACCTTAAAGTGTGTGTCAGTTGCACACTTTATATATCAGTGAAAGTACAAATGTTAGTAGAAGAGATACTAAATAGAAAACAGTATTTGGGTTGCATAAAATAGGTTTAGATTACGTACTTGTCTTTTTCCGTCTGTCTTGTAGCTAACAATGATGGCAATAAAGAGGGCGCCAGGCAGATAATGACGCATTGCTGGATTCCGTAATTTAAGCGATGTGTGCTTTCATTTCACATGTTTTTCCTGGTTCAAAAGGAGACAGAGGGCCCCTTTAAGCCAGGAAATATAAAATTATGTAATCGTACAATTTGGGCCATAGCCGCGGCCGCGGTACGCAAACTTTCCTTATTCCCAAAATTGCCCTTTCCCATTCATTTATGTACCAGGTAGCTCACTCACTCCGTATACTTTTGTAATCATACTGTACCGCATGCGCGCGTGCGGGTGGGTTGTCTACTCGCACGGGGCTTTAAGGAGCCATGACCAGCGAGGATGTAGGCAAACCCACGAGCTGACAGGTACGAAAGTGGGCGCCGTGCCGTGAGCCAGCCACCTGATCATTCCGGTCTAAATATCGATCCGTACGCCTTACCTGCTTTCATACCAGTCTGCTTACCATTTGCTTCGTACAGGCTGGCGGTAGTGTAAATGGTCAATAATTTGCTCTCAAAATGGGTCCTGTTTCTCTGGCACCAGTCATCGCCGTGTTGTGCGGCTGCACCGATCAAGCCTCCTGATGGACGCTGACCCTTGCGTGACCAGACGGGCCAACGCGGATCGCAGGACAGGGACATCGACACCCAAACGCAGGGCTTTGTGTTATCAGTTACGTCGCTGTCAGACTAATTACAACCGCCGACTAAAGTTGACACTCGTTGACCAGGCGGGAGAGAGAGAGAAAACGTCTTTCGATATAGCTGCCTTGTCAAAGCGTAAGCGAATCAAGAAGAGTCCTACAAGCTGCTTTCGGCACATGTCACACGTCTCAGTTCCTGGCACATTTGGTACTGTGCCTAAATAGAGCATGCTCTCGCTCAGTCATAATGGATTGAGAATATATACTCCTAGAAATGTAACAACCTCAGTGCATAATGAGTCTTCTTTGATAACGATTCGTTGTCGATTCGACGATTCGATCCACATCTTTTCGATTTTTCGACGTCGGTTCGCCGTTGAATCCACGTTCTCATTTCTCACTGAGGACACGAGCCCATCCGGATGTGTTAAAATTCGGATTGAAAAGTCCTTGAAACAGGAATAAGTCACGCTACAATAATTATTCTCTGATTTGTATCTAACACAGAAAATATAAACCCCTGTCATTCGACGCCTCCAAATGTTTAAGCGAGACAGAAAAAAATTCAACCAAGGCTGTATCGTAAAGCAAATGATGTGTGTGTAATGATCAGGTCTTGTTTCATTATATTTTAGTTGATTTAAGCAGGCATATTACAAAATCTAAAACCCACATCTACATAATTTTATTTCTATTCCTAAACACGTCAAGCAAAAAATCATATATTTTCTGTAGAAGCTATCATGCAAGTGGTCAACCCGGTAGTTGTGCACTTCTAAGTGTGCAACTCTTTTGTTTAACACTTCCTTAGATTGTACAAATACTGTGCGGGAAGTGTTCAACTTGCAGTTGCACACTTACAAGTATTCAACTTACAGTTGTTGCACACTTACAAGTATTCAACTTCCAGCTGCACAATTACAAATGTGGAGCAAGTGTTGCACACTTAGTTTATTAGTCTCACCGTGTCACTCCAGAGGAAAGCCATGCACAGGCGCGCCGACCGGTATTTCGGTCGAAATTTGAAAGTTCCCGGTGCTACGAGCTCCAGGCTTCGGTGTAATAGGGTGTGCGTATTGTGCAAGCGCCGGACGAGTCGAGCGGTGGGCCACGCAAAGCACAGGGAGAAAAGTAAGGAGCGGGACGCGAGTCGCTTAGCACTGTGAAAAATAGTCGTAAGGGTTACAGGAAAATTTTCCATGGTGAAAGTCGTAAAATTACAATTTAAATTGTAAATTGAAAAAGTAAATTTTTAAGCACTCCCTATCGACTTAGAATTGACCGACGAGCATGAATGGGATGTTGTAAATTTACGACTCATGTTGTAAATCAAAATTACAACAAATGTCGTAAATTTACGAGGATATTTTTCACAGTGAGCAACAGTGCCAAATAACGCTTGAGCGGATGGAGCGACGGAGCTATAACAGTACTAGTGATTGATACATATAACATATTATCTGTGGATTTAAACAAAACATTGGGTATCGTCTTCTGCTAAAAGAAAAAAAAAACAGCGGTCACAGCCCATCGACCAACCTTTCTCCTTAAAGAGATAGTTATCAGCAATCACGCCTATGTTATTGATATAAGTTCTTAACCTTCACTGTGAAAAATGTCCTCGTAAAGTTAAGACATTTCTTGTAATTTGGAATTAGAAAATAATGTTGTTAATTTACGACGGACCAGTTTTGCTCCTCGTTGAATTCCGAGTCGAAACGAAGTGATTGTAATTTTACAATTTCAAATTGTAATTTTACGAACTCACATCATGGGAAATTTTCCCGTAAACTTACGACTATTTTCACAGTGTCAGTACATCAGCAGATATCTTTATTCGAGCCATTTTATTTTTTTTCCTCGTCATTTAAAACGGAACGTATACTCGCAAAAAATATGGCGCAAACACCATTCTTAAGCATCAAGTGACCTGCTTTAACTGGCGCAATTTGAAATTAACGTGGTTTAGACTGCAACAATGGTAACTTGAGCTTCAGCTATGCTGAGACTAACGTACCATCTTCTAAAGAATATGGCAAATGTTGCTTCTAATATATTTTTTACTCGTTTCTAAGAACAAGCACGACCCTCACGATCAGCACTCAGTCGACCAGTCATCGTGCACCTGCCTCGTGCATCGGTTACTCGAAAATCGGCCTATATAAGACCGAGGTAGACGGTCAGAAGGTACCAATCCATCGCCATGGCCCGCCTCAGCATCGCAGTCCTCACCCTCTTCGCCGTCGCCGCGGTAAGTTTAAACTCTGTTATTCTTCCACCTTGGCTGGATCACAGGATCCTCCCACGAGCTAGTGTGCTAATGTAACACACATTGCAATTGCAGGTTGTTTCCGCTGGCGCTCCCCCACCACCCCCCAAGGGTCACGCTGGACCCCATGGCCACGTTGGACCGAAGGGTCCCGCTGGACCTAAGGGCAAGGGTCCAGCCCCCGCAGGAGGTCATCTGAAGGCTTGGCTGCACCAGAAGGAGGCCCAGCTCAAGCAGTGGGCTGGTCAGGAGAAGGCGAAGCTCCAGGTTAGAACAAAACCAGTGTCCTATTATATTGGCGACGGCATGGCAAACCAACTCTATCACCGTTCCCTCCGATGTTTCTTTAAATTCGCTTTCGTTTTCTTCAGGGTGAGTGGAAGGAGAAGGTCGTTCCCCACATCCACGATCTGACCAAGAAGTTCGGCCAGAAGTGGCAGGAGAAGGCTCCCAAGATCGCCGCCCTCCTCAAGCAGAAGGCAGGAGCTGCCTTTGATAAGGCTGTCAACTTCGTCAACCAGAAGCTTGCCCCCCAGGGTCAGCCTCCCAAGCTTGGCCAGGGCCAGCACCCCAAGAAGGCTTAAGTAGACAAATGAATAATTTCGCATCAAAATAAAGATCTTGTCTGAAAACCGTCCAGTTTCTCGACCCTCTTTCCCCTTGCTTGGTATTCATGCCATCGGACTATTTTTGACCTGCCCAAAGCAGAGTTGGAGTAATAATCAAAAAATAGGAGGAGTTGGGTAAAAGTTGCCCACGTTCTTAGTTAGCGGTTCTCGAGATGTTAGGTGTTATTCGTAAAATCGATGTATACTGTAAGTTACAGCGACTCCTGCAGCACAGTAGGGTTGCACATTGGACCTTGGGGCACATTGGTCCACCATCAAGTTTCACGAGGATAGAGCAATCGCAGTGACCTGACTCAAACTATGCAAGAAGCCATTACCACCCTGACTGATTTTCTGAAAGGTTTGACAAAGTTCACTGTGAACCATCGGATTGGCGAGGCGTTAAATATTTTTTAATCTCAAAATCAGGCAAAATTAAAACGTGTTCACCCCACAAGTACCATTTATTAAGAGGTACAAAACACGAATTTTCGGTTAACCACAATTTTTCGAAATGTCTCCTCTGGGCATTTTCTTTGTAGAATAACACTTAGACACCCTAATGGTGTTCGGGATAAAACGGAGGTTGTTTGCAGCATTTCTTTTTAGCTCGGCCTAATGTGCCCCATGCATGTCGGCCCAATGTGCCCCGGGGAGGGGCACATTGGTCCACGAGCATGCCTCTGCGGGTTTTGGTTTTTCTCAGTCTGTACCTACAGAAAGGTGTTGCGGCCACTTTTCTGGGGTAAAGGAAGGACCAAACTAAAACTTCACAAAGGAAAATAATGTCTGAGCTCGTCACATGAAGCATTGGGAGCAGAAAGTAAAGAAACGGACCCATGTGCCCCACTCTCCCCTAGTATGGTACGTAGGGACCGTCTAGAAAGTACATCAGTTACTTAGCAGACATCAGTTACTTAGCAGATTGACTCGATCATTCAGATTTAGCATTACGAGAACTCAGCGCCTGTGAGGCTCGGGGTAGGCCACTCAGCAGTACACGAATGTACTGCAGATAAGATGTTGCCTACCTATCAGGCGCTACGAGCTTTTTATTGTCAATGTCTTCACGGCAGATGACCGACGCACTTTTTGAATCAGTTAACCACAATAGCGGTAGTAAGTAAAAGAATGATTTCATTCCTCAGCATTTCCAGCGTTTGCGCTTGCCGTCGCTGACGCTGTACTCCGACGTGGGGTAACGCCGCCGGTGGGCTGCCGTCAGAAAGCGCCACTGGCACTGCACCGGTGGAGCTGGCGGCTGGAAGCTGGAGGCGGGGGTATCGCGGTATGGATCCAAACGGAACTCTACCCCTCCTTTCCGTCTGTGACTTTTGCTATCTGAAAAACTGAACCCGTGCATTTTAACATATTTAACGAGAAGCTATAAATGCTGGCGTATCAGTTTGCATTTTATCATTCCTAAGAAAGCGCGTGGTTTTGTGGCCATAATTTGCTTGTCACAAATTTTATCTTTTTGAGTCGGCCTACTGTTCTAAGATATGTTACAAACCTGCCCAACGATGGGTAACAAACACAAAAACTGACTTCTGAGTCTCATTTAATTTTATTCATCTTTTAGTTTTTGGTGACTTATTTTGTCGCCAACTATGCATAGAAGCAAGTAACCGATTGGTCGCTGAAGCAGTCACTCTCTGCACTGTAAAAACGGTATATGTTTGATTTTTTTCTTTGAGGTAAAAGGAAACGTTACACTGTAACGTTTACACTGAACACTGTTTTCGTAAATTTTTACGACAAAAATTGTTACAAAATGCTTCGTAAAAAAGATTCACAAAAATATTTTGTAAGTTTCAATTTACGAAACTTTCACAAATATTTTTCGTAAAAAATGAAACATTTTGAGTCACAAGTCATACAATTTTTCAAAATATATACAAAGTTCATGCTCTTTAGAAAGCTTTTTGGATTTTACAAAGCAATTTGTAAAAAAAAACGATGAATCGTAATTTGTTAACTCGTTGAGTCCCAGGGGAGGTGTAAATCACGTGTTATTGTGAACATTTTTGTGGTCACTGAAAATGCCAGAGTCAGATATCTTACTCTCAGGAGAGTGAGATCAGTCACACAAAAAAATCTTACTCTCCTGACTCAATTTTAGTCATAATTTGCGGTCCTCACCCAATGAGAGTGAGGTTCCTCCTGCAATTGGGCGAGATCAGGGAAATCGATGGAGTTAGATCTAACTCCAGAGTGAGAATTCGGTGAATATGACTTAAAAAGGGTGAGCCTTATAGTCATCGCTCTGATTGAGCGAGGTAAAATTGCCTCACTCATTTCGAGCACGACACCTCACTCAAAGGTTTTCAGTTGTCACGTGGGACTCAACGTGTTTAAAACAAAGTTTTCGTAAAAGAAAATTAACTGAATTTTTGTCGTAAGATCACGATAATTCTTTTTACAGTGTAGTTTGGGGTAAACACTTAAGGTTTTGAGAAAATCCTATCACAAATAGTGGGAGATTTTGTCAAAATTCTGGTATTTTCTTCCCTTTTTTCCCCCTTTTTCCTCCAAGGACTAGACCCTCTTTTCCTCGTGTGTGTAAGAACCTCAGGCACGTGCTGGCTGCTGGAGGTGCATCATTCGCCGGGTCCTTGACTTTTCCTCCTGATTAGCGCGCCTCGTATTATCGAACGCGCCGTGATTTCGGTTTCAATGTCAATGAGATAGAATCGTCCCGTTCGATGCCTACGTCCAGCCGGAGGCGGTCCGGAGGCGGTCCGGAGGCGGTCCGGAGGCGGTCCGGAGGCGGTCCGAAGGCGGTCCGGAGGCGGTCCGGAGGCGGTCCGGAGGCGGTCCGGAGGCGGTCCGGAGGCGGCCCGGAGGCGGCCCGGAGGCGGTCCGGAGGCGGTCCGGAGGCGGCCCGGAGGCGGCCCGGAGGCGGCCCGGAGGCGGCCCGGAGGCGGCCCGGAGGCGGCCCGGAGGCGGCCCGGAGGCGGCCCGGAGGCGACCTGATTGTGGGTTGGGCGGCGGTGCATCGTACCCGTGGCGATGATGTAGGGAGTGCTGCCCAGCCTCGCCTTCGGCTCCACGGCAGACTCCAGTAGTGTGATCCGGGACCTTCGCGTGCGTCTTGGCGGGTCGTTTCCGGGAGCAAGAAGGGCGAGCCGAGCTAGGCAGCGGGGCAGCCGGAGACCGTTCCCCTCCCCCCCCTCCCCCGGCCGATCCGTTTTGCACCGCGGGGGACAAGCTGATCTTGACGCCTCCGTGGCAGCGACAGCCATGAGTCACAAAGGCTGACGGTTGTCGCAGGCGGGCGGCCCCAGCCAATAGATTAGTGATCATTCTACGTGTGCCCTAGACTGCCCCAGACGAAGGGGTAAAAAGTACAAATATTGTGGCGACCCAACTCCCGCTTCACACTCACGAGCTCCCGTGCGGCTCTGCGCTACAGGGAGACGAAGGAGGACGGGGCACTTTACGTTATGGTAGAGACAGTCTTGTCTTGAGGTATGTCTAAAGAGCGCCAGTGCCCGGGCAATAGCCCCCTTGGGCGACTAAAAGTATAAAGGCGAGGCTACACCGCGCCCGGTATTCGCGTGGCGCTCGGCTCGCAAGCGCTCCGCGGTGGTGCCCCGCACAAAGAAGGCGAACATCACGTACGCACGCGGGGCGTGGCGTGGCGGGGCTAGGGAAGGAGTACCTGCGCCCGCGCCCCGAAAAGACAAACTCTACTCCGTTGCGACAGGTTACGTGTCCGCACCAAAACAAGGCGGCCTCGTCATGTGTGCAGTTTTGTCAGCGCTAAAATCCCAATCACGATCTGCAATAATGGGCAGAAGGGAAAAAACGGGAGGGGGGGGGGGATATTCTGTACATGGGAAAGCACAATTTTGTGTTCAGCTAAGATGCGTTCTATTCAACGCATCTCTATCGGGTGCAAATTTGTCTATAAAAAGTTATACCGACCTTACGTACAAAGAACTGTTATTGTCTATCATAGTTACAAATTTGGACCCGCGAAATCGCCCTTTGCGTCGTTTTTAATGTAGGTGGGAACGTTTCTGGCTCGCCGCCGGAGGGTGGGACCAGCAGCAGGAGACCTCTCCCTCTCCCTCCTCTCGATCGGCCGTTTCATCACGTTTGTGACGCCCAGCCGGTGGTGCCGACCCTGGGGCGCACGCGTGCATGTGCATTGTCCGGCATCCATGCGATTTAACACAGAGTGTGTGTGCCGGCGGCGGCGGGGGTGGGAGTGACGGGAGTGACTATGGCGGGGCGCGGCGCGTCTTCCCGTTGCCGTGACGACGGCGGCCCGGAGGGGTCCGGCAAGGACCTGGCGGGCGGCTGGCGGTGGCGGCGGGTGCAGCCCGGCCCAGCCTCTATGGAGGTATAAAAGGAGACGGTAACATGGCGGGCATCACACACTCTCTCACGGCCCGCACCCAGCAGCAGCAGCAGCCCGACACCCACCTCGAGATGAACGCACTGGTGAGTCCCGTCGCAACACTCCCTCGATCGGCTGCGACAGCTTTACCGCAAGGAGGGTGCGACGCAGCGCAGCGATGCACGTTTTTGTGAGCATCATTATTTGCTCGGGCACTCCGAGAAATACTTGAAAGGGTTACGGAAAAGATTTACATGTGACGTTTGTTGGTTGTATAATTACAATTTGAAATGGTGAAATTTCAAGTAATGCGTGTCACCTTTGAAATCATTGACGTGCAAGATGTGTTCGACATTTAAATCCTTACTCCATTGTCCCGCGCGTAATTAATCCCTCCTGGTTTTTTCAGTCGGTTTGTGTCAACTCCCTCGTGCTTTAACAGTGCCCCTTGAAGTGCAAGTTTGTGCTCTTCCTTGGCTGATAAGGTCAGCACGACAAGAGCCTTTACGTCAAGAGTGTTATCGCGTTTCGTGAGGGTGGTCGAGTGCACTTGACGCGACGTGTTCACTGACCGAGATCGCACTTTCTCGTGCATCGTCGTCGTATGCACTGATTTTCCCGTACGGATCAATGTACGAAAATATGCATAATGATGAATGATGCCCGCGCCCGCGTTTGTACACAAATCCGCACGTAAAGAACAAGTATGCGACACGACACGCACGCAAAAGTACATTACCGTTAGCGAGTGGGAAACAAACATTCATGCAAACTTGTTACCTTTCAAAATTCTTAACAAGAGGCTAACCGGCCTACCTCGTCGAAGGGAAAATAAATTGTACGGTGTCAAATCGCTTGAAACGCTTGAAATTTTATTATTGAAATAAAGGATCTTTTACGACTTAATTTTTAACATTGTATTTTCTGTAGCAGCCAGGGTGGTACTTTTCACTTTGCGCGTGCGACGTGTGACGAGGTTTGCCCATATTAGCCAAAGAATTGACATTGACCAAGTGAGGCTCGTGGCCATACATTGTGCCCACAATATACGGTCAATCCCACATATGTTTTTTTCGAATAGATAGCTCGTCGTCGTTGGAGGTCGAGCAATTTGCATGGGCATCTAAGCAGACGACGATTAGCTGAGCATCGCGGGGCTGCGCGGGCGTGCCGCGGGCTCCGCGGGCCGGAGGAAGGTTGTGGGGGCGTGTCGATATGCCGGGCGGGTGGAGCGCACTGCGCACGATGCACGACTGCACGGCCATTACCATCCGCAGATCGTCCTGTCCGCGCTGCTGGCCGTGGCCTCCGCCGGCTACGTCGCCGACCACTACGGCGGCGGCCTGGGCGGCTACGGCGGCTACGGCGGCTACGGCGGCGGCTACGGTGGCAGCTACTACGGCGGCGCCCTGGGCTACGGTCACGCTGCCCCGCTGGCCTACGCGGCCGCGCCCGTCGTCAAGACCATCGCTCCCGTCGCGACGTCCTACCAGAACAGCTACCAGGTGCGTGCGAGAAAGCACGGCGTGAGCGTACTAGAACTTACGTTGATCATTTCAAACATGTTCACCTTTGCGGTCTGCAGATCTCCAAGTCCGCGTACCCAGTGCACTACGCCTCCCCCGCCATCGTGAAGGCCCCGATCGTGGCCGCCGCACCCTTGGCCGTCGCCGCCCCGGCCTACGGCCTCGGCTACGGACACGGCTACGGCCACGAGTACAGCGGACTCGGCTACGCCGGCCACGGCTACAGCGCCGGACTAGGAGGCCTCGGCTACGGCCACGGCTACGGCTCGCACTACCTGTAAGCCGCCCGCCGGCCACTGCCTCGGCCACTGAAGGACGTCCACAGGGCCGCGGCGGGCTCCCAAACGGCCTCGCAACCGTGCCCGTGCGCCCTACTCAAGCGCATCTGTGTTCCTATTGTCGAGCCCCCAGGGAGTCGACGCCACTGTGTTCCCACTGCTTGCCAAAGTCCCCCGAGTTCCTCCTAGCGTATCTGTGTGCTTGTGTGCATATAGGATGTGTCCGAGATGCGTGAATGCTTGTGTGTGTTCGGAAGGTGCGTCCGTGTGAGTGATTGTGACGAGTGCGTGAGTGTGAGAAGATTCCAGTGCGAGTCAATTAAACAAATGTGAATACAACCTTACTGCTTGTTTGTTTTTCTCTGTTTTCATACATCGTTTGTCCTTCCCCACAAGACAAAAAGCCGCCCAGAAAAAAAAACATTCCCATACATGTTATTGCGAATACGCGACGACAAAACTTTCGCAATATTTTGTTGAGAGCGCGGGGGGAAGCGGAGGGGGAAAGGGGGGGGGTAGCTGGGCCAAGGCGCCAAGCTGCTCCGATGAGTTGAGCAAGTTGCCTTAGGAAGCGGATCAGCCGACGAAGTATGCAGTATGCAGCCAACAGCAGGGGGCCGGAGGCCGGGCGGGAGGCCGGTGTAAGATCCACCTAGCTTGCAGATAAACCGTGGGTTACCTGCATACAGTGGTTTTGTAGCTCAAAGAGCCTATCTTCCAGGCGGCTCACTAGAGTCGACAGGGCGGGCACTCGTCCCACCCCGTACACCACCCGTCCCCTTTCCAACGCCTGGCCAACAGCCAACTCTTGCCCAGCTCCTCCAGAGCTCTGCTCAACAACGTCCGCGAGCCCGTAGCAAACAGATATCACTTTGTCGCACCGAGGGGGAGGGTGTAGTCACGGCTCGCCATCAAAGCCGCTGGATCCCGGAGTCGCCTTATCAAATGTACAGGGCGCCCCACCTCCAGCCGATAGCGCCCCCCCCCCCTTCCCCTCCCCCTTTTCCTCTCCACAAGAACGGCCTTGCGCGGCCTTGGCTGGAATGCGCGTACGCCGCACCGCGCCGCGCCCCGGCACGGAACAAGGTGCGAGTCAATCTCTCTCTCTCTCTCTCTCTCTCTCTCTCGCTCTCGCTCGCTCGCTCTGCACCGGACCGAAGTCGTCTGGCACGCCACGGAGATAAGCGACCGTGACGGCGGCGGCGCCCGGTAGCGCCTGCGGGTAGTCAGCCCAACGTGCACTGCAGCCTGCGGCGCAGCCATTCATACTGATCAAATGCCGCTGCGGTGGCACAGCGGATGTAGCACTCGATAGTGATTTTCAGTCTGCGACCCTTAATGCGTATGGGGGCAATAACTCCGGGAATCATGCGTACACCTGCCTGGGATTCATCAGTAGAAAATTTAATCAAAATCAACAGAAATCGCTTAAAATAAGCGGGACCTTAGTGGAACTCGTTCAAATTAGTCGACATAAGCGTTTTCCACCACTAGAAAACCTAAGAAATAAACATAGGTGGACGGGAATCACTGGGAATCAAGGATTTCTGGAATCATGTGTACACATCAAAAGGGAGTTATTGCCCCCAGCGTATGCGGTCTCTGCGAGCATACAGCCTCTAAGTTTTACGGTCGCGCGCTCGTTTATTCGTTTGTTTACAGAAAAAGTAGGCGATGATTTAAGTATGTAACGTGACTGTCACAAGAATATGAAGAAAACAAGGGGGGGAGCGTGCGCTTGCGCTAGTGTGACTAACCAAGCTTCGTGTAGGTTGGGTTGCCTACCCGAAGGGCGCTTCAAGTACCTGGAGAGAACAGCCACTCACTCAGCCCCGCCTCTCGTGGACAATCAATAGAGCAGTCGGTAATCACACGGTCAGAGAGAGAAAAGGGGTGGGGAGGCTGTTAGTTTTGTTGTACCGTGACACTATCGTGGGAGCAATATTAAATGGAGCAAACAGGCGATTGCCGTTCGTGGACCGAGTCGTGCCGTGTCGCACTCCAGGCTGGCACGGCGGCGTGGCCGAGGCGTGCCATTGCGGAGAGGAGAGGGAGAGGGGGGGGGGGGCGTCTGGCCTCCCTGTCAAAACGCTGCGTGCGTTCGCATGGACTTGCGAGCTCTCTCGACGCCACCCAGCGGCAGCGCTGCTGCTGGTACCTGGTCGCGGCGCGCTGGCTGTGTCAGAGTAATAACAAGGAGTAACGAGATTTCGCGCGAGATTGCCGTCCGATGGTTTCGATCTCTCGCGCGCAAGTCGGTTCTGTGTTCCAGTCTCGACAATAATTGACTGTTCAAGCGGAGAAACGAAAAGGGCTCCTATTACGAGAGGGAGAGGGGCGCAAAATTGCATTATGCGTTGCATCCTAGAAGTATTGCATTGTGAAAAATAGTTGGTTTTACAGAAAAAATTTCCATAAAGCGTGTCGTCAACTTAAAATTGAAAATTGTAAAATTACAATCATCACCTCGCATCGACTTGATATTTATCAACGAGCAAGGTTTGGATTTACAGAATATTTTGTAAATAATTACAGAATATATAAGTTAACGAGGGTATTTTCCCACACTGTAAAAAGCTAACGAACTAAATACTTTGCAACGTTACAAACAATTTTCGTTCTTTGTATTGCAAAGAAATTGTTCGTATTGCAAAGCGATTATTTGTAAGGCTAGACAGGGTCTTACGAACAATCGGTTTGCATTACGAGCTATTTGTTCGCGAACAATTAGTTTGTAATACAACGCTTCAGAATCCTTCGTAAGCTACGAACGTTTTGGTTTGCATCACGAACCTATTGTACGTAAGCAATTTACAGTGCAGTGTTGATACGACTATAGGTTTGAAGGAGCTGTCTAGGCCCGCCGACGGCGCCCAGTGTCCGGTCCGCGCGCGGGTCCGCGGCTGCGGCCGCTGCCGAGTCTGCTTAGGCGCCGTGCTGAGTTGCTGCAGCTCCACTCTTCTGCCCTTGTAGTTTATGGTCGGGTGGACGCACTGCTCGGAGCCGCATTGCCAACCGGAGGTGCAGGCGTGCGCCCGGCCCGGCGCGGCGGTCCTTCTGTTTGGGGCGCAGCAGGGCGAAAGGCGGAGTCAGATGATTGGTGGAGTTTTTATGAAAAGGATAAGTGCCTCCACAGTGCCATACCGCAGGCACACTTTGAGGTCGAACGGCCGGTTTACATTGGAATGTCATTTTAGTACTCTGCTACTACTCCTGCTGCTACTACTACTACTATTAAAGGCAGTGTCTTTCAAGGCCGGGCTCTGAGTCAACAAAGACTGACCCGCTGGAGTGACGTTCTCGCTCGAGTTATTCGCGATGCTATTTTCGATCGAGGCGTGTGACAGGGGCACCGCGTGAAGCGCCCCCGGCCAGGCCGGCTCATAAGTCATGCGCACATTTGCGTGTCCTGCCCGAGATACCGCTGCGCAAAAGGCGTTTGCGAAATCCGGTTCGCAGCAGCAGAAGGGCGGCTGGGTGGTGAGCAGGCGGCGAACGCATTATTTAGATCGGAGCACTCAGCCGCGGACGGAGGAGTCTGACTCGGCGGCGACAGAAAATCCGTCTCCCTCACTCCCTCCCTCCCTCCCTCCCTCCCTCCC